CCTATTACCGTCACTCTTTATGAATAATCTATAAATTTCTACGTAATTTTCAATTAAGTCTAGAAGACACCCTAACTTAAACTTTATATAACAAAAAAAAAAGGCTAAACATTTTTTTCAATAATAAGATTCTTTTTTTAGGAAACATTTTTTTCAAAAAAGGGTACCGCTTGCTCTTCTCCTTTCCTTTTGCTTAATATTATAGGTGCGTTTGGTTCACGGAATGTAAGATTATCAGTGGGAATAAAAGATTATCAGGGAATACGATTACTTGGAATGTTGTATTTTGTGTTTGGTTGGTTTAGCAGGAATGTAAGATTACCGTAATAGGTTAAAGGAATAAAAGATTATTGGAATATATATTTAACCAAATTGTCCTTATTATATATTTGTATAATATTACAAATTATAAAATATTTATATATTTTTTAAAAAAAATTAAATTCATAATATTTATATAATTTTTTTACAAAATTAAAAATATAAAAAAAGTTTAATGAAAGGGTAAATTTTTTTTAACCTTTTTAACTTCATATAAAATTTTAATTATAGATTTTTTTTTTGTAAATCTAAAATAATTTAAAGATAAATTTGTAATTTAACATTCGTATAATTTTTATTATTTAATGACAGAAGACGAATATTTTTGAAAAAAAAATAAAAAATTAAAGGCATTTTAGTTCAAAACACTGATAATGTTACAATACCTAAGGAAATAAAGATAATGACCGGAGAATTTCGCTAATCTGAAATTTTGAATCTCAATCCAAAGTAGGAATGGAGCCTTCTTCTGTCACTGGAAATTCTTCCTCTGGCAATGGCCTCGACCAGGAGCATGTTCTGAATCATGGGTGGGTTTTAGGGTTCATTTAAAAAAAAATGTTCTTTTTTTTAATTGTATTGATTTGCTGAATTTTTCTACTGACTGGATGAGAGGCCATTTTTTTTTTAATTTTAGAGGCACGGATTCGAACCCTGAGATTAATGGAGAAGAAGAGCAAGAACCAGACGAAGAGCAAGTTAGGCGCACATTGCAAGTTATTTCTACTGCTGGGAATTTTTGGTATAGAAAATTTCTTTTCCCCTTCAGTTGTATTTGCATATGGATTTGGTGTCTTCATATTATACAATGTTGTGAACCAACATATTGGTGATTCATACAACTTTGGTTGGGGTTGGCCAACATACACCCTTGAGTTCATGAAAGAACGCTTCTTCATCTTGATATGTAGATTCTCTTGGCCAACAACTTCAAAATTTTGTATATAGGAAATGTTGTTTTCTAGAATCATGAGATACAAAGGAAGGTTAAGTATTCTTGGTCTTGGTAATTGTTTTTCTGTACCTAAGTTGATTGCATTATGCAGTCACAAGAACACTACTGCAGAAGATTTAGTGATATAAATTGTATCTCTCAGTTGGACTTCCCAGTTAAATCAAGAGATCAATAATAGAAACAATTTGGGGAACAACTAGGGTTGTATGGAATCAGAGGACATCTGTACATCTCCCAACAGTACAGAATAATATAGTTGAATATATATGCAAAAACTTTTCCAAAAATATAATTACACGCCTTTTTAGAGGAATCTCTTTGAGAGACTAGCTCTTAGTAGGTTAAAACTTACAACTGAAGAGGTGTTTGCCAGACTTCATCGTTAACTTTTTTTTAATGCTGAACAAGAGAGTTCTTCATCTTTGCATCTTATTAAGTGCGAGGTAATCCAACATAGCCACTTGTCAGAATTGCATTTAGAAAATATTTACTTAATATACAAAATTATTGTAGTAAGAAATAATTATCAGCTGAGTAGGTGTTTGCCAGACTATCAAAGTTTGCTTTAAAGGCTTATTGGGTCTTCCATCATGGACTCATCCTTAGAAGGTTTGAGGTGGATTTTGCAGAGGGAATTTGATAGTTTATAAGAACAGGATTGTGTGTCAATTAGTTTTCCTAAATCCCAAAAGTTGTCTGACACGTAAAATTTGATACTTCCACATATAGTTTTATACATCCTTTATTTTGTCAAACATTTGTTTTTTATGATGTTAAGGGAATATGAAAGAGAATAAATACAGATTTTACTGTAATTCTTGTTTTCTGTATTTATTGAAGGCATAGTTGGGATAAACTGAAAGCATGCTATCCTTTCAATTGAAACTGGTTATTTTCGTGTTCTCTAATCTCTTTGACAATGATATATAATTCTTTTGATTTATATATCTTAACTCGGGATTGTTATGGATTTACTGCCCTTTGTGGATAGTGAAATATGATAGATTCTCTTTCAGCAGTATTTCTTCATTTAGATTTTATTCTTAGTTCTTTCACTAATTTATCATAAAGGTTCTATCGGAGTATCCCGAGGCAAAAATGACAATTGATGAACAAAATGCTTCACTGGGTGAAACTTACCTAGGGTTGGTTACACGCCTAGATGAAGGTACTTCCCCAACCAAGTTTACTAATGTATCCCAAATGTAAGCAAAAAAGTTGGTATTAAAGCATCCATGTGATTTTAGAAGGAAAAATAACCTTAGCAATGGGTGGGCTCATTTTTCTTGTTTCTAGGTGTGAATTAGTTGACAAGGTTGAAGTTGCATTTTTTTGCTGCTATGCATCAGATGATATTCATAGGGACACCCTTAATCTTTCTCTCATTCTTGAGCGGGAAAATAACAAAAGCATTCTTGTAGATGCATATTGCATTTCCTCTTTGCTTAGTGATTCCCCTAGAAGATATTACTGGTGCACTAAGTGATGGTATCCGTGGAGTCAAATTCTGGATTATAGGTGATTAAATAAAGAATAATTCATGCTCCCTACCTCCCTCTCTTTGTGAAGCAATTGTTTCAAATTTTTGTAGTTTCTTGTTCTGGTATTCATTTTCCCCTTTTGCAGAGCTTCATTGTTTCATTGAGGGCCCACCGTTTACCCTTCAAATAATCTGTGAGGTGATTACTTTGTAGTATATTCCATATGTTGATATTGTTACTTTCTCGTTCTTCTTCATTTACCACGATAATCATCTTTTTACTATAATTTTAATTATTCCTAAATTGGTTTTGTTTATTTGCATTTATGACTTTATGGCACTCTACGCAAATGCAGCCAGTACTGAAATTTTATGTACAATTTTAACATTTTGTGATATTTCAGTGACTATCTTCAAACTTAAGACTCTTGAAGTATGGGATCTAACAAAATTCTTGAAGCGATAAATGCAATGATATCTTTTCTATTTACTTATATCAAAATTTAATTTATTTTAGCACAGATTTTTTGCTCAACAGATCTTACTTGCTGTAAGAAGCATCTATCCAAAACTCTCAAAGCTTGCCCTAGCACTAGGAAAGGTATGGTAATAAAAACTTGTTGCTATTTAGTTACACGTTGATTGAAAGCTTTTGAGACCTTTTGAATTTTGTTGATTCTGCAAATCATGGAGCTTCTATAAGTGATGATTGAGTATGCATTTTAAATTTGTTTGGTCATACTTGTAATTCTTTAAAACTGTCCAATGTAGTCTTTATGGTCAGGGATGAGGCCAGAATTTTGGGGGTGAAATTGAATTAAAAATTTGGTGAATGCAATTTTACCACTGTATTAATTTAAATTTTTACAATTTCTAATGGGACTAAACAATAAATCTATCTCTGTTTTTCCCCTCTAAAATTCTACTCTTTTCCAAGTCCAATTCAATTTGTGCTACTATTTCCTTTGATAATATGTCGATGTTGCATGCACGATGGATTCTTTCCAGATAATTGATATGAGTTTAACACAAGAAATCAAAAGGATATCAGAAATCTGATATGGGCTTTTTTATCAAACGATTCAACGAAGTGCAAATGTGCTAGTCAATGATTTTTGTGTTCTCTTATTCCGTTAGTATATGTTATGTTTTTCTACTCAGTGTGAAGTGTTTAACTTTTGATACTTTTTAGAATTTGCTGGTAACCTCTACATTGACGGCCTGCACCAAACCCTACCCGGAAACGATGCCTCCAGAACCAGAAAAGGCAAGCAAAGAAGCTAAACCATAGTCTAATTTGATCCAATGGGGTTCAACCCCTGGCAGCAGGAGAGAGGGATGAGATAATGACAGAAGCGGATGCCGGTATCGAAGAGATGACCATTGATATGGATGCCTTCCAAGAAATAGTGGGACCATCCGAAGCCAATTCCATAGAATGGTGGACTACTCTGTTGTATTTATGTCACAATTTTGAAGGAACCTTGGGGAATAAAGCAACAATGGGTCACGGAATTCGGTCCTTTGGAGGGACTGAAACGAATATTTTCCCTGGATGTGTAGTTGTAAGATTGTGAACAGGTGACGGTGTATTTGTTGAACCATTTAGCTTGCAAGTGTTTTTTAATTGCTCCTTGTTGTGGCTTTGGTAAATGATTAAAGCATACTCATCAACTTCTCCGTGTAGATTCATTGATTTGCTCAAAGGTTGGATTATTTGTTTAGTTTAGTATATTTAATTCGATTTGGATCGATCTGGTTCAGTTTAAATTAAAATTTTAATATAATAATAATATTTTTATTTAATTTCTTCTAGTTATAATCTGATCCAAAACCTGCTTATATTTCATATGAACTTTTTTTTTCTACCTTTGTGAGAGAATAGTAACGGTAAATTTATCATTATTATTTAATTTTTAAGGAAGTAAAGGATTATGAATTAGAATTATGGATTTTATGATATTTTTAATTGATTTATGTTTATGAAGTAAAATAAAAAAATAAAAAACGATATTTGACCACCAAATTAATAATATTTAATGTCTTACTAGTTAAAAAATTATATATCGTTAACATAATTCATCAATAATATAAGTAATTAAAATGTTATTTTTAAATTTAGTGATAAAAGAATAAACATTTAACGAAACAAAATTTATCATTTCGGAAGTTCACCCAAAAGATTAAACAAATATACAAGGAAAAGGGTGGAGCTTCGGGTGTCGAACTCCATTAGTAAAAAGGAAAAACAGCTACTGCTGAAGCGGTAGCGTTAACAAGCTTACTGGGAAACCCTACCTACCAAACCGCCGTCTCTCGCCGTCTCTTAACTCTTTCTTCTTCAGCCGCCGATAAGAGCTCAGGTATGCTCTTCAGCTTCTTAATCTTCGTTTTATTTTCACCTCTGCCTTTCCATCTGTTTTCGATGATTTGGAAGATAGTATGTCGACTGCACCTACGGATCTCAGAATTCAGAAGAAATTACGATAATATTTAGATAGTTTGTAATTAAAAAAATTTGAAGAATCTAGCTGATCTTTCGTTCTTTGCGCTCTTATGCGGATTGAGATTTGTATAATATAGTTGAAGGGAGTGTTGTTAGATTGGATATAATAAACTTAACGTGGACCTTGGATTATTGACTAAATGATCGCTTAATTTCCTAAAGCTGCCACTGCTTCATCTTGTTTCTTTGCCTATCCACTTGTCTTTTTCCATTTCCTATTTTACCTTTTAGGTTTGTGTTCTAACAGCGTAAACCTCTTAAGTTAAAAATTATTCATTGTCATTTTTCTACCTTGTGGTTCAATCTATGTCTTTGCTGTATGTTTTCTTTACAGTTTATTGTCTCGCTCTTTGCAACACGAAATGGCCGAAAGTCATGGAACTGACAAGAACATCGAGATCTGGAAAATAAAGAAGCTAATCAAGGCACTGGAATCTGCAAGGGGAAACGGGACCAGCATGATATCCCTTATAATGCCTCCTCGTGATCAGATATCCCGTGTCACGAAGATGTTAGGTGATGAATTTGGAACTGCATCGAACATCAAAAGTAGGGTCAACCGTCAGTCTGTGTTGGCTGCCATTACTTCTGCTCAACAGAGGCTGAAGCTCTATAACAAGGTGCCCCCTAATGGGCTGGTTCTCTATACTGGGACGATTGTTACTGAAGATGGCAAGGAAAAGAAGGTGACCATTGATTTTGAACCTTTCAAACCGATAAATGCTTCCTTATATCTTTGCGATAACAAGTTTCATACTGAAGCTCTGAATGAGCTTTTAGAGTCTGATGACAAGTTTGGATTTATAGTCATGGATGGTAATGGCACGTTATTTGGTACGCTAAGTGGGAACACGAGAGAGGTACTTCATAAATTCACTGTTGATCTACCAAAGAAGCATGGAAGAGGAGGACAGTCAGCTCTGCGTTTTGCTCGTCTGAGAATGGAGAAGCGGCACAACTATGTGAGGAAAACCGCAGAACTGGCCACCCAGTTCTTTATTAATCCTGCAACCAGTCAGCCCAATGTTTCTGGGCTGATACTGGCGGGTTCGGCTGACTTCAAGACCGAATTGAGCCAGTCTGACATGTTTGATCCTCGTTTACAAGCCAAGATTTTGAATGTCGTTGATGTCTCATATGGTGGTGAAAACGGTTTTAATCAGGCTATTGAGCTCTCTGCTGAAATACTGTCGAATGTGAAGTTCATACAAGAAAAGCGATTAATTGGAAAATACTTTGAAGAGATAAGCCAGGATACCGGAAAGTATGTGTTTGGCGTAGATGATACATTGAAGGCTCTGGAAATGGGTGCTGTAGAAATCCTTATTGTGTGGGAAAATCTAGAGATCAATAGGTACATGCTAAAACACAGTACAACTGGAGAAATTATCATCAAACACCTGAACAAGGAGCAGGAAGGTGGTCTGAGCAACTTCCGTGATCCTGAAACCTCTGCAGAGCTGGAAGTTCAGGAAAAAATGCCCTTGCTCGAGTGGTTTGCCAACGAGTACAAGCGCTTCGGTTGCTCTCTTGAATTCGTCACGAACAAATCCCAGGAAGGATCACAGTTTTGCAGAGGATTCGGTGGCATTGGAGGTATCCTACGCTATCAGCTCGACATAAGATCGTTTGATGAGCTATCCGACGGAGATGTTTACGAGGATTCTGACTGATTGATAACGCACTGCTCAAAGCTGGCATGATGGTTTGAGAGGCCTATACAAGCCCAGATGTGTTTCGTTACTATTTTTCACTTTTTGATCCCAAGAACAAAATATAGACAATGTTAGTTTGAGTTTTGCCAATTTGTGGTGTTGTTTTTTTGTCAATTGGATTGTGATTGTTTGTAATCAGATCTTGTTCCACGCAACTGTTTCATCTGAACCCTCTCTTCTTGAAGCGAATTGGCCGCCCTTTACCATTAATGCTCTGAGATTATACGTACCAATTGCTTAAAAGGACTGTTCTTTAATAAATAAAAAAATCATCTTATATTGAATATACGTAGTTTCAAATAATCATATAATGTATGAAAGAATCAATTAATTTGAGGAAACTGAAAACAAAAAGGTTGGCTATTGGATTTGACGGGTAGTTAATTCCCTGTTTAGAATTAGTTTCCCCGACTCACTCCTCTCGAAAAGTTTCTCAACCAACTCATCCCAGTTTGTCCCTCTAGAGCTCAACTCCGGTTTGGCTTTTGGGTTATCTCCGTTGTTGGCTTCGACAGCCTCTGTTTCCGTTTCCATTTCCTCAATCCCAATCTCAATCGTTTCACCGGCTATGGGTACGGCGTAAGGGATATTCAAACTGACAGCTTTTTGCAATGCATCTTCGTGTTCTTTCTCAAGGGTCTTCAACCTCTCCAGTTTCTGTATTTTCGGAGGAACAGTTATCGTCTCGGATTTATTCTCCCTCATAACCTGTAGGAACCAACAATTAAGCTATTGCAGATAATCCAAGGTCCGAGAACGAAGCTATTAAACCAAAAGGAGGAGCACTCACTTCCAAAGCCTTCTCTGATTCCCTTTCGATCCAAATTATTCCGTGATCGGCTGTTGCGTTACAAGATAAAACGATACGTTCAAACCTCTCGTCGACAGGAATGGCTGTTCGGACTTCTGGAGGAAACCTCCCACATCTAGGAACTCGAATCACATAGTAAACTTGATATCAAATAAACAGACAACCTCACCATAATCTAAAAATAGAATTGTAACTAATATTGGTAACCCATCATTCGAGGATCAAAGTAAACACAAAATGCACAAGTCGATGCAAACATGAAAAAGAAGCAAGAGTCTGAAAATGCCGGTACCTGCAAAACTTTCTCTCGACTATATGATACATTCGTCCAGGAGCATAAAGTCGTCTCGGATCTTTAAGTTTCCTACCTTCTGGTATGAAAGTATCCCTCAAGCAAACAAGAAATATCAAGCAGGGCAAGCTGCCCTAAGCATCAAATAACAGTAGAAACAAGAAAGTTGTAAGAGAAAAATAAATGAAAAGATGCAAAAGCAAACAAGAGAAACAAAGTACCAGAATATTGACTTGAAGATATCTTCCAAGGGTGTGGCTGTCCTAGGCAAGAAATCATCCTGCGAAACAATTACAAATAATCTAAATTCACTGAATGAAGGTGATTAGGAAACATTACTTATATAAATGCAGGCCGAAAAAAGTTGCGTATCGACTATAAAGCAAGAAAGAAACCAATCTCCCACTCTGGTACAAAATGTTTGAATGCTAACATAGGGTTCGTTACTTTCGAATACATCGATCATCTGGATTCAAATGCGAAGAATCCATCCATGAATTGTGAAAATCATAGTTATAAATAATGATTAAACTTGTACTAGATAGTAATGGACTCAAAAAGAACATGGTTCTTATTCATTCCATTCTTCCTAGCTTGGAAGGCAGTCATCACTTTTTCGTTTCCATATACTATTTTGCTACTTTCTCTCCTCGGAATATGTACCGGCATAGACTCGAATTATGTTCGCCGACTTTATTTGCAGACATTATACTTCCATTAAAGCTAAGAAAACTCTAACCATTCTGTATTAGGCCCATACCATATTCGAATCGAACAATAATTTGAGGAGAAAAAAGAGATAAGCTCACCTGCAAGACAATGGAGTGAATAACATCAGCATACTTGACAGCCAAGTTTAGTGACATACACCTGGCCGGCGCCAACGCATAGCACCGAATCTTATTCCGGGGAATCCCACCCAATCTATCCCTGTGATTAACCAGCACCACCGTCATCAAAGCCGCAACTCCCGACCCCAACGAATGTCCGGCGAGAATCAGCTGATATTCCCTCCCGGTGTCTTCCCAAACCCTCTTCAACGTCTGGCTCTCCTCGTTCAACAACCAAACCGCCGATTTCAACAGCCCGTGATGGACATACCCTCCATCAAACATCTGCATCCCCAACCTGTTATCCAAAAGCAATTTATAGTCGCTGTCTTTGACCAAGTTGAGTCCCCTAATTGCCACCACGATTTCCTTCCTGTCGTGGTCGGCGTAGATAAGGTAGGGCGGAGAACGACCGAGAGTTTGTTCATAGTCGGCGTGTTTCAAGACCCAGTCTGGGTTGAGCCTGTAGCCGCCGTCTGGAGGGCACTGGGGGTTTCTGAGATCGGGTTCGTAGACGGCTAGGATTAAACGACAGAGTCTTGGGACAGGGTGGAACTCGTCGTGGGTAGCTAATGGCCAGGTTTCACTGTCGTCTGAACCGACACGGGTGCAGCGTTTCAATGCCCAACGCGAACAGCCAAACACGAGAGCGCACTCGACACCGCAAGAGACAGACATTTAAGAAGGAATTGGGTAACAGATTTTAAGCGATGCTTGTAATGAAAAAAAAAAGATTCGGACAGAAGAGAGAGAGAGAGATCAGATTACATAGAAATGTGAAATTCCGACATCCACGAACGAAAACGTTTCAACTCTGTACAACCTTTACTCTTTCTGGTCGTTGCTTTGGTGCTTGTCTTGGAGTTTCAGCTACTCGGTATTTTCCACGTAAACTAAATATACACACATTTATTCTTTTTCTATTACCGTTTTTTTTTCAAATTTAAACGAAAACAATCTATTTTTTAATTAAGTAATTTGGTGTATAATGAAAAATATTTTGTATTTTTAAATAAATAATATAATAATTTATTATTTAATTAAAATTTCTGGTTTTGTGATGGTAATGGAAAATAATTAAATATAGGTTGTGGTGATTTATCTACTATTAACTTGCTTAGTTTAGTGGCTAATCCTTTAGGGGATGTTTGGATTAAGGAATGTGGGATTCTCATGAGAATGAAATCCACATTCCCATGTTTGGTTGGTCAGGAATCTTATTCCCAGTAATGTTTTATTACCAATAGTAGATTTTTTGGGATATATTACTGGGAATGTCATTACCTCCATTTCCTTAGGTATTGTTGGATTACCGGCGTTTTGGACTAAAATGCCCTTAAAAAAAAATTTCTTTCAAAAATATTATTCTTCTGTCATTGAATAATAAAAATTCTACGAATGTTAAATTACAAATTTATCCTTAAACTATTTTAGATTTACAAAAAAAATCTATAATTAAAATTTTATATGAAGTTCAGGGATTAAAATAAAATTTTACCCTTTCATTAAACCTTTTTATATTTTCAATTTTTTAAATAATATATAATTTTTTTTATGAATTTAAATTTTTAAAGAAAATATATAAATATTTTCCAACTTGTTAAAAAACAAATATATAATAAGGACAATTTGGTCAAATATACATTCCAATAATATTTTATTCCTTTAACCAAACACGGTAATCTTATATTCCTGCTAAACCAACAAAACACAAAATACAACATTCTCAGTAATTTTATTCCCTGGTAATCTTACATTCCCACTAGTAATCTTACATTCCATGAACCAAACGCAACGTTATTGCCTTACTTGGAGGACAAGGGTTCAATCCCCTAGCTATGCCCAAATTTTGTTAGTTTTATTTCATAGGGTGGCACCTATTGGCTGAATAAAAATAAAAAATAAAAAAATTATTTGATTGCTGACATGGAAATTTAAAAATAATAAAAAAATTATCACGTTAATCTAGTCGTTAAGTTTTTAACGAGTATCAAAATGAAACAAAAACTAAACATTAAGTATGATTTTATAAAAATTGAAAGTTTAAGCACCAAAACATACCAAAAGTAAAATTTTAGGTACTAAAAACATAATTTACCCTAAATAACTCATGTTTAAATTTTTAACTAATTTATAATTATCAACGAATTTGTAATTATACGTTAAATATTTTATAATTTTAAAGTTTTATTATAAATTAAATTAATAATACTTATCATTGGTCGTTGAGCGTGGAAGAATCAACCATGCAATAATGCTGGTATTCATATGATGCTAAAAGAATACAGGAGTTGAATGAGTTATTGCGAAATCATCACCTCCACTTCATTTTGTACAAAACCGAATAGGCCTGAACCCAAAATAACAGGGGAAAACCTCCCATTGACCCAACTACTCCACTCAAAATTTTTTGCTTAAAATAAATTGCACAACATCCTACAAGAAGATTACACTCCACAGCATAACCTTGATTACCACTAACACCGTACCGAAACCTCCCCCGCTGTAAAAATTCCGACCCGGTGAATCCGAACTTATTGAGTTCATCGACGGTGCTGTTATATTTACCCTGGTTCCATTCCTTCCAAGGCTGCATCATACATCAACAAATAAAAGTGAAGGACAAGTGAAAAAAAAGCTAAGCCAAAGGGGTAAAAAGTTGTTATTTCTTTTTACCTTCCTGGAAAAATACAAGAACCGTGACCTGTGAAAAGACGCAAACTTGGATTAGTTTCCTTCTCATGTAATCAATAATGTTGTTATATCAGTATCTATGTATGCGTGCTCTATGTTTATCTTACTTGGATCTGTTGTTGTAATATCTGCAACCCCATTGAAGTCACATGAGTCGGGAGTCTTCCCCATACAGTGATAGTAAGTGTCGAATGCATAAGTTGCATGTGCAATCACGTTATCGGGCTCATAACATGGTTTTCCCTGCAACAATGCCGAACAATCTACTTTTCCTGGTCCACATGCCCAATCTAAAGCAGCCTGCAACATCTTCGGATCAGCACCTTCCTTTGCCATGCAATAAGTTTGATTAGTGGTGTCATTTGCTAACAATGACCCTGAATCTGTCAAGCGTAGTATGTAAATAGGGTCACCATTTGAATCAAACAAACCCCAGTTCTTCTCCGAGATTGGCCCGGGTTTCTGGTCCTCATTATAGAGCTCGTAGATGTAAGTACTGACAGCAATTCCAGGGCGCTTGGGAGTTCCGGTTTTGTTTATCACATGGCGGATCAAGTTGCTGTTGTATGTGTTGGCGTTCTCTATTGTGGCATCTGGTTCTTTGAAATCACCTTTCGATGGCCAACCAGTTTCAGTCACTATAACAGGGATGTTAGTGAAGTTCAGAAAAGCCATGGCAAAATACGTAGCATCGACCATAGCATCAAAGACATTGGAGTAGTGGACAAGTGTGTTAGAGTCGACCGCTTCCTTTGTAGGAGGAAGAGGCTTGAAAAGTGCATAGTCTAGTGGAATCACACCATTTGATTGCATATAGTCATAGTAAGGGTATATATTAAGCATGAGAGGTGACCCCGTCGACTGCAAGAAATTAAGCATAGGGACCATAACTGGATTCCATGACCGGTTGAAAAAGGCCTGGGAAGGTGGGAAAGAATCAAGGATTATAGATGAAGCAAGAGGTGATGAAAGTTTGATTTGGTTGTCTAAATTCGATGCCACGAGGGCAGAGTGAACAAACTTCATGGCATTCACAAGCACTGGTGCTGCATTAGGAAGAGTAGTGAAAACCTCGGAACCAACACAAATTGCAGTGATGTTGGTTGCTGGATAATGTGCAACGATGTTCCGAGAGACCCAATTAGCTGCAGTGGAATTCGATTGTCCGATGCCAAGAAGTTGTTCGTTGGGGATAGAAGCCATAACTCGAATCCCAGTATTTGCAAGAGCAACTAGCATTCCTCGGTCTGCATCATACAACCTAACATGTTGGATATTCTGGGCTTTAAGAAGAGCAACTACTTGAGTTGGGTGTGGCATGATTGCTAGATCTGTCCCTATATTCACTCCAATATATGGATCTGCAACAACAGAATTAGACCAAAATAGTTAAAACAGATCTCTCTACAGAGCAAATACGCTGATACCATTATCGCTTTACAGTCAATTAATCATGATCCTTAAAAATCCCTACTAAATTTAAAATAAGATGAGAATGTCCGATTCTGGTATCGAATTAAAGACAGTGTGACAACCCTATGTTACTCGGACTTAAGTGAAAGTGTCGGATATAGAATGCATCCAGCAAGACAGTCCTTCACTAAAATAGAAACCCCACCATGATCAGTAGATTTCCAACAAAGAAACTTATCCATGTGAACATTTCAATAAAAAAAATACAAACATGGGTGCATGGTAGCTACATCAAAAGCATTGAGACATGAACATATATATATAATAATGATGGTATGTTCCCTACTCCAAAGCCGGCAACATTTCCTAGATCCAGTAATCTTTTGACCATTTTATTTCGTTACCAAGGCAAGTGGAAATGCCACTGCCCGAGATTTTTCTCTTTTTCTTAAAGAAAATACAGTGAAGGCCTAAAATGAACCAATGGAATTACCTCTAGGATCTACCCTGCTGAACAATATTAGAGCTACATTGATCATTAAATAAAAAACCCGGATCCGTTCAACCGGAATCCGACAAATGCTTCGAGTCTGGCAAATATATAAAAAAATCGGATGATAGTTGAATCAGTTAAAAACCAGTTCAACCAATGTTTTATACATTAAAGATCTTGGTTTTGGGTTTCCATTTTCCTTTCCTGTATTCAGTTCAGCAAAAGAATGCAATAGTAGTGGGAAAAAATAAGAACAAAATGAGGGAAAAACTATTCCTTTAATCTACCCTGTCCCCAGCATCAAAGCTGGATTCCTCATTGTACACAGAGTATCCCCATTATAGTCGGTTATATACCTTTCTTCTTAGAAGAGTTATCAGTTACGTTCTCATTAGCTGACATGTAGGCCATATCATATATATATATATATGATTTTTTAATACCCCCAACTTCCCTTCTGTCCTCACTTATTCCCCAGTTTAATGCTTCAGACCTACCAAAATCCCCCAAAGCAAAGTAAAAGGGCAAAAGAATTTCATTACAGTCAAAAGACTTCCCCTCAAATACGTTTAAACAATACATTTTCATCAGGTTTCTAGCCTTCAAATGACTTGAAGAACATACAAAGGGAAGAAAAGAAAACCCAGAAAGCTGGTCGAAAAGTGATCGAGCTCATCAGTTGTAAGATCCCTTTAAATGAAGTATTAAGAAAAGATTGAGTAAATGGAAGAGTAGGACATAAAAAGCTTTACCTTCATCAGCTGTTGCTTGAGAAACGGCTAGAAGAAGAAGAACAACAACAAAAACATGAAGCCAGGCCATAGGTAAAAATATAAAAAAAAAACACCCTCGAATTATTCTCACGAAACAAACAGAAGCCAGAAAGAAGAGAGTGAGCTGAGGGATCCGGAAACAACTGGAAACGAGTAGAAAGGCAACGTGGGGCTCAGTTGAAGGAAACTAAGAGAAAGCAGAGAGAGAGAGAAGACGACTGAGGGAGAAAAGGGGCTTTGACCATACACATATTTAACAAATATTTACCTATTTAGCATAGTTTAATATATATTTTTTAAAGGGTTGCCCTTTCGATTGAGTTGACGAAAAACGTGTTTTCGGGGACGTGTTTTACCCGTATTTTCGCTGAGTTGGATGTCACGTGTCGAAGACGCATCCCTGGAGATGCACCTTTCGCCAGCTCGACTGCCACGTATTTTGTTTAATAATAAATATTTTATTTTTATT